TATACAACAAGCCTTTTTAAATTAGGGTTTAGAATAATTGAGATAATAATTATAGATAACAACACAAACGAAAAAAAAAAACAAAACAAACGAGTCAATTAAGAGGGAAGTGACAGCGAGAACTGGAAGATGTCTGCCATCTTGCCGTCGTCAAAAATTTGGATGCGCAATCGTCGAAGCTCATTCTCACACTTCCATATCTCTGATTAGAACGTATTTAGGCTACACATGACACAAGAGCGCTTCTCGGGATTAGCAGAATGAGTCTATAGAAACAGAGGACTTACTGACAACCTTAGTAATACCACAATTTATGAACAAATATTAGTAGGTATTAGATTATTATAAAAAATAAAAAAAAAAAAAAAATTTTCAAAAAGTAATTTTTGTAAATATGCCGCGATATAGTGCCTAATAAAATTTGACATTAAAATTAAAAAAAAAAAAAAAAAAAAAAAAAATTTGATTTTTTGTTTTTCTTTTAAGAATATATTTTTTATTTTTTCAGTGTTTTTTACCTTCCACGCGCCCTCCTATTTTCTGAGTCCTTTGTTTTTTTACTTTTCGAACTCACTCCGACACCTTTTAGCGCGTTAAGATATGTTTTGTTTTTAACCTTGTTTGTGTTTTTTTTAGAGTTATTTTTTATTTTAATGGTTTATTAGGCTATTGGCGATGACCTCCATTTAAAAAAAAGTCAACGCGTCGCAGAATAATACCTCATAGGTGACGTGGATATTTATTCGTATTTGATCAAAATTAACTTCATGTCGCCTCACCTTCCTATGTACCCACGAGCCGCCACTGGCTTATGAAGCAAGAAACTACGCCAAAAACTACGCGTAGTTTTTTGTATTAACTACGTTTTAAAATTTTAAAAACTACCTTCAAAAACTACACAAAAACTACGTTAGAAACTACCTACATAAATATAGTAAAACATAAACATTTAGACTTTAAACAAAAATCAAGCCAAATTCTTATCATGGAAGTATGAAGTTATATTATACTTGTATAAGTTAACCAACATCAGAAAAAAAGACAATTTTTTTTTCAACAAAAGTGTATTTTCAAAGTAAAACCTCTTAAGGCGGGTAAGGGGACAAATAACGAAATAACTCACAATCTTTAAGATGTTTATTTAAATTTAAATGCTTCAAAAAAAGCAGGGAGGCGCTTTATTTTATTTCTTCCCAGTAGTGGTACTTCCTAGGTTAACGTTTGTCTTTCTGGGCCTGATGATGGGAATTGTTTAAGTCCCGAAACATGTCGCCTCCCTGCTTTTTTTGAAGCATTTAAATTTAAATAAACATCTTAAAGATTGTGAGTTATTTGTCCCCTTACCCGCCTTCAAAGGTTTTACTTTGATAATATGTACTCACACTGGGTTAGAGAACATTTAGAGTTTTTAAAAGTGTATTTTCTACGAAATACAAAGTAACATTGAACACAAAATAAACTATAAATTTTTATGGAGAAATTTTCCATAGACATTCTCCAGGAGAATATATGATTTTTTACATCTAAAGGCACAACTTCATAATTCCCCTCTTCCCAGATGGTATGGAGACATTGACGTCTTTCAAGCATTTTTAACTACCAAGTATCAAAAATATCACATAAGGAACGACTTCACAAAATATAGATTTTTTATTTCTTTAAATTGACCAACAAAGTTTTTAGGTTATGTTTTTTTCACTGTTATTTAAAAAACTACATGAGTTACATAAACTATACATGTACTACTCGACATTTAAAAAACTACGTGTGACATGTAGTAAATGTAGTTTATTAATTACGTGTAGTTTAACAACTCTGCTGCCGACTCGTCGCGTCGCGTCGTCTCTCGACGAACGGGCCGAGGTTGCCATATTTCAACTATAAAGCTCTTGCCGCGAGTAATAAACAAATTAACAACTTGTATACATATATAACAGCTTAAAATAACAGGTTTCTGTTATTTTTTGACTTTAATGTTAAACATCTAAAATAGCATACTCACTGTCCAAATTGTAGTAAAATCATAAAAATCTTCATATTTATTTATTTATAAAAAATGATGTACTTAAATAATATGTGAAATAATATGTAAATATTATTAACCTAATATGTAAAATATAAAATTTATAAACAAATCATAAAGTCTGTTTTAATTTTTAGAATATGTTTATTATATTATTAATAATTAAGAAAATAATGATTAAAAAAATCAATATTTCTAATATTAAAAAAAAATAGCTTAGACAGTCTTTATTTATTTAAGTAGTTGAAAACAGGGGCGGATACAGGAATTTATTTTAGGGGGGCCCAAAATAGAATGTAATGTAGAATAATGCTTTTTAGGGCGCCATTTTTAACCCAAAAGCCTAATATTTAACACAATATACAGATTTTAGGGGGGACCCAGAGGTTTGCGGATACAGAGGGGGGACCCAGAGGTTGCGGATACAGAGGGGGGGCCCATGGGGCCCATGGGCCCCCCCTCTGTATCCGCAACTGGTTGAAAAGCACTTTAACATTTCTAATCACCATTCACAATTTCTTGATATCGTTATTGCTAATAGGCAAGTAAAATTGCCTCTGAAGAGTTTTAAAACGTAGCAAAAACATGAAGTAAAGTACATATTTAAAAATATTAATAAAAATGACGTAAAAACATAGTAACTGAAACTTAATAACTAAGTACTGAAACTTACAAAACAAAACTTTAAAATGCAAATAAGTATATAAAAATAAGTTTGCAGAAAGCAAAATAGTAAAATAAACTTGCTCAAAACGATTCTAATAACAGAAGCTTAATCATGACAATTTTCTTTAATTCATATATAATTAATAATTATTTTTATTTATCATCCATTTATTGATGCCAAAAAGTACCCAGAAATCCGACAAAATAAAACCACTTTCAAACTATTGAAATAAATTCAGACTGTTGATATGTTGTAGAAAACGCAAAATATCTTTTAGTTATATTTTTGCAAATATATGTATTAAAAATTAAATTCTAAGGCCACCGTACACCGCGATCGAGCCACACAGGCAAAAAAGCTATTATTTTCCAAGTCCGCTTATTTCGACCGCCGCGCCGCGCGCCCGTTATACTCGTAACAGGTTAAAAACAATGTATCTAAAATAACTGCTTATTTTCTATGTAATTCTCCAACCTGTTGCGAGCCCAATATCGACAATCGACCTATGCAGCAGCGTTACTTTACCACTCTTAACGGGTTTGAGCAATTTTTAGTAACAGCCAGGCATGCAACAGCCTTGTAACAGTTAAGCTTGTCGTACACTTGTGAGAAGAGCAGCGCTGCGAAAATCCGTGCATTGGGTTAATTGTATGTATTATAATGCAGATTAACTGTTTAAAACGAAGCAACGTTAGTCCCGATCTGGATTATAAATATACAGGGCAATTTTTTAACCTCTTCAGCCATATAAAGCTACTAGCGTGTACCCGCGACTTCGTTTGCATTGAATTAATCATTTGTAATGGTGATGATAAAGCAAAGCAAGAATTTCCATTAACATACAAACTGGATAAAATTTTCTCACATTTATGTCAGCATGAGAAAAAACAATATAGCGATATTATTATATAACTTGGTAATATTTGAGGGTTAGTTTCATCTCGTTGGAATTTGCCTTTCGAAAAATCCGTTTGCCAAAAATAAGCTTTTTACGTCCAGCAGTTTAAACAGAATCGTGGTTAATCTATTACCCAACTTTTTGGAACACTCTATATGATTTTTTAAAAAATTTCAAAATATTAAAAAAACAAAATAAATTATGTGTGTCCAAGCGTTTTCCAGAAAGACTAACCGTTTTTTAAATAACAAATATTGTAATATTTGAGGGGCGTTTTCACTCTCTTGGAATTTGAGATTCGACAAACCCCTCATTATCGAACCTCTACACCCCACAGTCAATCCGTTTGCCAAAAATCAGCTTTAAACGTCAAGCAGTTTAAGCAGAATCGTGATTACTCGATGGTCATATTTTATGAAACACCCTGTATAAATTTTTAAAAAATCTTAAAATATGTAAAACAACAAAATAAAATATACGTGTTTAAGAGTTTTTCCGAAAAACTCACCGGTTTTTACATAAAAAAATATTCTAATATTTGAGGGGTGGTTTCACCCCCTTAGAATTCAAGTTTCGAAAAATCCCTTCTTATCGAACCTCTACACCCTAAACTCAATCTGTTTTCCAAAAATCAGCTTTTTACGTCAAGCGCTTTAAGCAGGATCGTGAGCAGATTTTTCGAAACACCCTGTATACATTTTTAAAAAATCTTAAAATATGTAAAAAAACTAAAAAATAAAATATACGTGTTTAAGCGTTTTTTCGGAAACTTGACCGTTTTTTAAATAAAAATATTGTAATATTTGAGAGGCGGTTTCACTCTCTTTGAACTGGAATTTCGAAAAATCCCCTCTTATCGAACCTCTACACCCTAGAATCAACCTGTATGCCAAAATTGAGCTTCTTACATTGAGTGGTTTGAGCAGGATCGTGATTAATCAGTATGTCAGTCACTTAAGGATTTTATATATTAGTATAGATATGTTTTTTTTTAGAAAAATTACCGAGTTATTAGCCAATTCTTATAATTTTTAAACAATTTCACTTAGTTAGCCATGGAAACAAGTTCAATCGTCGTTGCTCTCAGAAATGTGAAACTTTACATCTAAACTTTTGTAAATTAAAATAAACAAAAATTGTAAATATGAATTTTTCAAATGATGAAAAGCATGTAATATTATTGGTTCAACTTTTCTTGGTCATACATTTTCGAGCATACGTTGACCGGTGAATGTTACTTACCTTTTTTTGAGAACGGTTTTTAAGGACGGAGAAGACATTTTACGAAAGTTAAATTTAGATACTCGCGCATTAATAGAGTGCACAGATAGAGTGTTTTGGATGTCGTCCGTCGATTTTTTTCTAAAGGGGCGAACACAAAAAGGGCGGCTATTGAAAGTAAAACACTCGTACTTAAAATGAATAGATTTACTTTTCCTCTTAAGTTACATATAAAAATTGGAGGCAGTATAGTATTTTTCAACTCCAATTTCCTTTAAGGTAGTCTCCTTGTTGATAGTTGTTTACGTCTTCTAACACCCCTTGGTTCTGTCAATACAAGGCATGTCGTCTTCTGCGGTTACATAAGGATCAGTATCGGTCCTCAATCCGAACGAGTAGCCCGGTTTTTTGGGGAGCTTGGGTAGATAAATGGGCCCAGGAGTTTGATTCTTGTCGAGGGGTGGATACACTCTTGGGGACATGCTATATGTAGGTGCCTTGTTCTTATACAGCTCCGTTTTAGCACTGTTGTATTTGGCCGGACCCGGAGATCGTTCCTGACCCAGGACTTTTTGTCTGAATGACCTGAAATGTGGATTATAGAGAGATTATATTAAACATTTTCAGTTCTTTTTTCAACATAGATTCATTAAAAATTAATTAACAATGAAATTTGTTCGTTCTGCAAATGTAATTTTTGACCTAAAATTAAAAATATTTCAGAAATTACTGTTAAACTTAGGCATAAACCACATTATACATAAAATGAATTTTAAATCAAAGACTAGTATATTAATACATATTTAAACATATATATTAAACATATATAATCATTAGAGTTAGAAAATATCTAGATTGGAAGTTATTTGCACACTAATGTTCCACAATAAATGATCTCAATTAAAAATATTCTCAATGTAGCAGCACTTTCGGAAGTATCGGAAATTGACATATTTTTCATATTTTAAATGGATACCCACCATTTTATATATTTTTTCTTATATATTCAAATTATCTGTAAAATTTCATGAATTTTGATATCAAATACTTTATCGAAAATCAGACGTTTTTTTAGAAAAAAAACTTTAGAGCTGAACACTGTCAGAGAAAGTCGTATAGCTTAACTGTCTAAGTTGTAGTGATCTAACTAGTCTCACAACAGAAGTGTATTTTAAAAATTATCTTAAAGTTATACAGAACCAGAGATATGGAGATAGGAGAATGAGCTGTAATACAGTTGCAGTATTATATCAATAAAAAAATTCACAGATTTTGCAACATGCGCAACCATCATAGGCGTATTGAAAATACCAGACACAAGTCGGCGGTTGTCGGCAATCACCTGTTTTTTTTACATTTTATATTAACTTGTAACGTCATTTGGAAGAGCTCAATAGAAATATAAAAGAACTAAACCTTGTTTGGAAATCAATTTGACATTCGTGACGTCACCACTCCGGCAGTCTATAGTGCGTCCAGACCTGACGAGCCGAGCGCGAGACGAGAGCAAGACAAGAGCGAGACGAGAGCGAGACATTTTCTATCCATTTTTTACGCAAACCTGCCACGAGACAAGCCGAGTGGGATCATAGTGAAAGGAAGCCAAACACATATTAAATTGCAATTGAATATAACAAATGATGGCCAAATAATATCGCATAAAGTAATATAATTTTTTGTACCTTTAATATGGGATTCGGTCTTTAACATGGTATTCATCGTCGGTTTTCCCCTTTATCCCTTACACGACGGCGACTTTTTTTTACATAATACGTTTTTTAACGTTTTTAGAACAAAATGTTAAATAGAAAAGTTATTGGTAAGGTTAAGAAGCACATTTTAACATTACTATAGAGTATACAGGGTACTTTAAAAAAGTGTTGCGGATATAACATATTTTCTAATGGGAATACCCTATTTTTTATTTTATTATTGGGTTATACATACGTACTATTCGGTAACTTTTCTTGCATTTTTTGATATTATATATCTAAAATTAATAGATGATAATTCTATTTGTTTAAAGAAATGTTGGATTTCGGTAGGGTAAAAATTATCAGTGACGCAAAATTTGTAAATTCTATCAGAAAAAATGATAATACATACAGTGTACGATTTAAAAATTTGAGATTACCTAATTTTAAACAGTCGAAATTTATAAATCAGACCTAATATCTCGCAGTCGGGCGAGCCTACCAAAAACACGTCCAGACTTTCGAGCTTTCTTTGATCGGCTGTTGAAAAATCGACAGGGGACGGATAGCAACGAGGCTCTGTAGGTTGACTCGCGAGGCTCTCGCGAGACTCGTCCATTTTCACCGATCCATCATCATCCCCTATTAAAAATAGGGGGGTTGTTATTTTATATTTTTTTTTGTTGCCATCTCCGAAACGGCTAGCCCGATTTTGATGAATGTTTATTATGTATATTGAGTAGGTCTGAAAATAGGTTGTTTATATATTTTTATACCCTTAAATGATAAGGGTTGCCCACCCCCATTTTTTTTTATTTTTTTTTGAAAAAAAAAATAAATTTTAATTTTTTTTTTGAATTTGGCCATTAAAAATACACACCCTAAATTTTTCACGGTTCTACCATCATCCCCTAATTTTTAATAGGGGTTGTTTTTTTAATTTTTTGTTACCATACTCCTCCGAAACGGCTTTGACCGATTTTGATAAAATTTATTAAAAAAAAAAAAAAAAAAAAAAAAACTTTTATATATTCTTATACCCTTAAGTGATAAGTGTAGCCGAGAGGGTAGCCCACCTCATTTTTTTATTTTGGAAAAAATATATATATTAATTATTTTGGCCTTAAAAAATACAACAACTCATAATTTATCACGTTCTCCATCATCCCGTATTTCTTAATAGGGGTTGTTTTCTTGTTACCAATACTCCGAAACGGCTTAGCCGATTTTGATGACGTTTTATTATGTATATTGAGTAGTTCTGAAAATAGTTTGTTATCTATTTTTTAATACCCTTAGTGATAAGGGTAGCTCACCCCCATTTTTTTTATTTTTTTGAAAAAAAAAAATATTTTTAATTTTTTTTATTGACATTAAAAATACAACCAACTTCTAGTTTTCACCGTTCTACCATAATCCCCTATTTTTAATAGGCGGATGTTTTTTTTTTAAAATTTTTTGTTACCAACTCCGAAACGGCTTGGATCGATTTTGATGAAATTTTTATATGTATATTCAGTAGGTCTTAGAATAGGTTGTTATCTATATTTTATATACCCATATATAAAAATATTAAAAAAAAAACAATTTTTTATATAATTTTTTGAAAAAAAATTTTAATTTTTTGATTGCATAAAAAATACAAACAACCCTAAATTTTCAGCGTTCTACCATCATCCCCTATTTTTAATAGGGGATGTTTTTTAATTTTTTGTTACCATCTCCGAAACGGCTAGATCGATTTTTGATGAAATTTTATTGTATATTCAGTAAGTCTGAGAATACGTTGTTATCTATTTTTATTACCTTAAGTGATAAGGGTAGCCCACCACCTTTTTTTTATTTTTTATTTTTTGAAAAAAAAATATTAATTTTTTTTATTTTGGCAAAAATCAAACAAACCCTAAATTTTTCACCTTTCTACCATCATCCCCTTTTTTTAATAGGGGTTGTATTTTTTTTAAGTTTTTTGTAATTACCATCTCCGAAACGGCTTAACCGATTTTGTAAAATTTATTAAATGATATATTTAGTACGTCATAAGAATAGGTTGTTATATATTCTTATACCCTTAAATGATAAGGGTAGCCGAGAGTGGTAGCCCCCACCCTTCATTTTTATTTTTTTTTGGAAAAAAAAAAATTTTTATATTTGGCCTTAAAAAATACAAACAACTCTAAATTTTCACCGTTCTTCCATCATCCCCCTATTTTCTAATAGGGTTGTTATCTTTACCATTTCCGAAACGGCTTAGCCGACTTTGATGACGTTTTATTATGTATATTGTATAGGTCTGAAAATAGTTTTTTTTTGTTTATCTATTTTTTTATACCCTTAATTGATAAGGGCAGCTCACCCCCATTTTTTTTTTTGTTTTTGAAAAAAAAAATATTTAATTTTTTTATTGGCATTTAAAAAACAAACAACTCTAAATTTTCACCGTTCTACCATCATCCCCTATTTTTTAATAGGGTGTTGTTTTTTTAAGTTTTTTGTTTACCCATCCCGAACGGGCTAGACCGATTTTGATAAAATTTTCATATGTCCATATTCAGTAGGTCTTGGTTTGGTTTGGTTTTGGTCACAACCTATTCACAGGTTATCTATTTTTTATACACCCCTAGTGATAAGAATGGTCCACCCCAACTTTTTTTTTAATTTTTTAGACCAATTTTTTTATTTAATTGTTTATAGGGAGTGCTTATTTTTTAGGGGGTGCATGTCCAAAATTTTCTTCTGGGTACTCACTTTCATCACTCAAGGGACACCTCTGTACAAAATTGCATATTCCTTCCTAGAACAGGAATTTTACATAAAAATTATTACAAATGTTTAACCCTGAGTTTTATCCCCCTTAAGGAATGAATTCCAAAATTCGCTCTAATTATTCAATTACCTACATAATAAACCTCTGTGCGAATTCTCATATTCCTTGAACAGAATTTTTTGTTCCAGAACGTTCAACCTCTCATTTCACACCCTTAGAGGGCGAATTTTCCAAAAATTGCTTCTTATTGCTAAATTACGTTACATAAGGAACGTCTGCAAAAATTCCAATTACTTACGATTATATAACCATTTTGTACTATTCATCCCTATTTTTTAGGGGATGCACGCCTAAAATTCTTTCCTAGGTACTCACTTTCATCATTAAGGGACCTCTGAACAAAATTTCACTAATTTTCTAAATTTTCTAAAATATAAAAAAAATTATACAAATTTTCACCCTATATACCTTAGTTCATTCCTTTTTAAGGAAATGAATTTCCAAATAAATCACTCTAATTATTCAATTACTCTACATAAGGCACCTCTGTGCAGATTTTCATATTCCTTCAACAGAATTGTTTCAGAACGTTCACCCCTCATTTCACACCCTTTGAGGGCGAATTTCCAAAAGTGCTACTTTAGTGCTAAATTAGGTTACATAAGGAACGTCTGTTCAGAATTCTTTACTTCTAAACACCGATTGTTAACAAACTTTTGTACAATTTTTATCCCTATATTTCTAGGGATGAATGTCAAAAAGTAGCTTCTAGGTACTTCACTTTCGTCACTTAAGGAAACTCAGTGATACAAAATTTCATACTCTAGAACTAACATTTTTTGATACAAGATTTCCCCCCAGTTTCACTACCCTTAGGTTATACATTTCCAAAAATCGCTTATCAATGTTCAAATTTGCCACATCTGTGCAAAAGTTCATACTCCTTGTAGGTACAGATTTTTTTGTATAATTTACACCCCTTTATCTAATTACACCCCCTTATGGGTCGAATTTTAAAAAAATACTTAGTAGTACTCATCTTAGAGAACAAATTAATATCCTCCGTTTTACTCCGTTTCCTTAATACTAGCACAGATACACATAATCATACTAGTTAATTTTTT